TGGGCACCCGGCACCGTAAGTGCATGCAGCATCCCTCGGAATCCTACCTGCCACCCGTTGGAGGGGGTCCTGTTTGTCCACATTTTACAGATGAGCACAGAGAGCTTAAGTAACTTGTCTAGGGCTGCAGCTCAGTGTGGACTTTGGAGGCTGAATTCTTGACCCTCTTTGGCTGGGAGTAGGAAGAGTCAAGGAATCCAGGTTTTTCTCAGCCTACAGGCCTTTCTGATCTCCTCCCACAGTGAACGATTGCGTGTCCCTGCCCTCTTCTACTTCAAGATTTGGGGCATCAGTGTGTGCGTCAGCAAACCGGGCCCGTGGATTTCCTCATCTTATTGGCACTGTCATTGGCAGTGGTGAAATCAGTAAAGGAATGGAATGAAACATACCCTTGTACCCAGGTGGCCCCCATGAGGGTGGACAAACTGACCTTCACCTCAGAGCAGTCAGGGACATCTCAGAATGGGAAGCCACCTCTGTCCTCCTGGGAGAGGACTGCCCAGTTGAGCCCTGGTTTCTGGGACCTGGAGTGGGGCGATGTTATGACTTTTGGGGGCCCAAGACATGTTTGCCTTTGTGGGACCTTTGCCCCACAAGAAAATATTCTGAAATCGTGTTTTATAACTGTGAAGGTATCAGTGTTCTATGAAGACGTTTGCTTTGACCTAAAAGTTTATTTATTTCTTCTGATTTTAAAAGAAATGAAAGCATTTCCTAGGGCCCTGGGCACTGTGCTGGCTGGCCTGATGAGCAGGCTGGCCCTGCCTGGAGCCTGCAGCCCTGAGTATGCATTTATCTGTGTGCCCGTCTCTGCCATCCAGTGTTTCCAGAGCTTGCAGAAGGCCTTGCTGGAGCATTAACTAACCCCTCGGGCTCAGTGAAAGGATGCTTCTTTGGCCCCTGTCTGAGGTGCAAGTGCCTGGGAGAGTCCTGGGATCCTCCCTGGCCACCAGGAAGGTGGACTTACAGGCCAGAAGTATGCTTGGGGATTTGAACGGTGGTGGAGGGGTCTTTGCCGAGGGAGGGGATACAGTAGAGTTCAGATCTGCTTTGTGTGGGGCCTAGTGTCTTCGGCACTGGGCTGGGAAACTTCGGGCCTCTGGATAAAGCCTAACTCCTGAACAGTGGTTTCCAGCTGGGGGTGACTTCCCCTCCCAGGGCCCATTTGTCCTGACGTTCAAAGATGTTTCTGACTGTTGCAACTTGGCACGGGGAGGGGTGCTCCTGGCATCTGGTGGGTAGAGAGGTTCAGGGTGGGGCTCGACGTCTTACATGGGACAGCTCTCCCACAAAGTCTTCCGGTCCCAATGCCAGTGGTGCTAAGGTTGGGGGACTTTGATCCCGAGAGTGTTCCAGGCATGGGGTTCAGGTGAGTGGAGCCGTCCCAGGAGCTCCTGGACAGGACTAAACGCGGGCCACCCTGCCCTCTTCAACCCGAGCACGTGTAGTTACAGCCACAGTGGAGACCGGCTGTCTTAGTCGAAGCCTTGGGGTGGGCAGGCAAGCCTGCCTGCAAAAGAGAGGAGCCAGGTGAGCTTCTGTGAGCCACAGGCTTCATGACAGCAGAGCGGAGAGTTCCAGAGATGATGGCAGATCCCCAGAACCCTTGTCTAATTACCTTGTGAGCAGAACACAGGGTCTTGAGGGCTGAAAGTGGTGTTGAGGTCTCCAGAAATTCTCTCTGCCACTGTGGGCGGGAAGCCGGCGGGGCAGGGCGCAGCGAGGATGCCTCAGGCACCGGGTGATGAACTCAGGTACAAGGGTCTGGAGGAGGGCAGGCTGGAGGTTCCCATTTTGTCTTTCCCGTTTGATCCTGCGTGGCCCCTAGTGCAACCGGGGGAAAAGGACTTTTTTCTAGGCGCCTTGCTCTGTTCCTCCTGTGTGCCCCGGGCCAGTGCCTGCAGCAATGGGGACAGGGAGCCTGAAGTTGTGCCCCCGGGTTTAGGTGCAGAGAAGCCTGTAGAAATGGAAGTGGCAGGAGAGCAGGTGGTGAGGATGGGGATGAGTCCCCTTGCTTGTGCCAACACCTGCCTTATGTTTCAAGGTTACTGTGGAGGAGATGGAGGCTTACCTGAATCAGATCATCCTGTTTATTCTCCAGATTTATCTCAGACTCTCACAAGCCTTTCCTCTAGCCTCCTGCCCTCCACTTCTGCCATCTGAAGAGGGAAGGGGGCACCTTCATGGTTGGCCTCAGCTGCCTGACCAGTCCCAGCCAGGCGGGGCTACTCCGTGTCCTCGTTCAGGGGAACTTGGCCAGTAGCTGAGTCAGGGGACCAGGAATGCTTCTCCTGGGGCCTCTGGATTTCCACTGTTTCAGCCTAAAGGACGAAAAGGAGTGGGCAGGGTCGGTGAGGAAAGTTTGGGGTGGGTTAATGGAGACCGTGGTGGATCAGAACTCCCACCCAGCTTGGTGGCAAATGCTTCCATTCAGCCTTCCCCTGCGGTGGCGCTGGGGCTTCTGGAACGGGATCTGATCTGTGCTTGGTTTATTTATGATAAAATCTGGGCTACTCGGAGTCCCTGGGGAAATAGCCATTCTGGAGAAAAATTTTCTGGGTTTCAGCGGGCTTACTCATTTAAATATTGCAACTTTTATTTTTCTAAAGTTTAATAATTTTGGATAGAAATCTTTTTTTGTTTTTAAATACTGAGTCCTTGGCATGTTAACCCCCCTCCCCTTTTTGGATGCCCCAAGGTTATCATCACTATCAGCACAACCCTCGTTTGGGGCTACACAGTGTGGAAGTTTTCAGGGACCATCAATAGCTGGGGAGTTGTTGTGCACTGAATGTCCCCATAGTTCTTATGTTTGGTTTTTTTAGCTGTCCTCGTTCCTCCCTGCTATTTGATACTTTTGCCACTGTCCATATGCCTTCCTTCTTTCTCCTTTTAATTTTGTTGATTTTATTCTGTGGTGGCCTTGGAAACCAGACACGCAGGAACCAGGCTTACTGGAGCGGTGCTACTGCGGACAGTCAGGGCCCTTCTTGTGCTGACTTTCCCCGTCTGGTGAGCGGCATCAGAACCTCACAGTGCTCGGACGGGGTGACTGCAGCTGTGGTGAGCAGAGGCTTATCTTCCTCTGCTTCCTGCTTCTTGAGTGGGTTCCACACGGCAGGGGTAGCAGATCACTGAGGCAACTGCCATCATCGTCATCATCAGCAAAGTAATCACCGCCGGCATGACGCAGAATTTCTGCGTTCCACGCTGTATCTTTTTGGCTTTACCTGTAACACACCCTCAACAGTTCTGTGGAGTAGGAACTATTATCCAGTAACTTACAGTTAAGAAAACAGAGGCACAGAGTGGGTATCTGTGCAGGAGAAATGCAGCTGGTATAAAAATAAAAAAGTGGCAGAGCTGGGATTTAACCCAAGTTCCCCCTCTTAACCAGTGCTCGCCAGTCTGGAGATAAAGTGCCTGTTTCTAAAGGGATGCTGTAGCTAGTGAGAACCGACCAGGTGTTAGGCCCAGTGGGAAGGCAGGAAAGGGATCAGACCTCTCTTGAATACCTCCATTTGTGGGGCCCTGGCTGGTGCCTGGTCCCCTGGGATCTGCTGGAGAATGCTATAAGCACGCATATGTCAGCTCCCCAAGGCACGGAAGAGTGTCCAATCTCTTAGCTGGTGAGAGAATGAACACCACAGCTTGTGACAAACCAGAGTGGGTACCATGACCCCTCTTTTACAGGTAAGGGCCAATACTGCCCAGGACAGTGACCCTCTGAGCCCACCATGCTGTGCCCAAATTCTGAAGGGATCGCCAAGTACTTGGTGCCTCGCCCGAAATTGTTGTGTAGAAATATTTTAGAAGCCAGTTCGGTATATTATCCAGGCTATAAGTTTTTGAAGGTGCATTAAAGGGGAAGAGAATATGTGCGAGATTTGTTTGGAAACACCCCTTGCATGTCTTCAGGTCCTGAGCCCTCCCGGGGGCTGTGGTGAGGTCTGAGGCCCTATTTGTGCTGCTGTGTCTGTAAGGGGCTGTTAACCTCCTGGCCCCCCTAGAGCTTAAGGGAAGTCATCTCCCTGGTTACGACTCTTCCATACCATTCACTCTGTTGTCTGGCTGGACATGCCTGAGCCTCTGTGAGACTGTGGTAGCAGGGGTGCTGCTCTTGGGGTCCCTCCACCTGAGCTGTGCGCACAGGAGGAGCCATTCCTTATTGCCAACTGGCTGGCCGTTTAAGAAAGTTGACTTATCGATGGTCCTTGGACAGACATCTGGGTGAGGCTCCATGCCCTGCAGTGCGATGAAACTACAGCGTGGAGGAGGTCATCGTCCTGTTCTAGGGGGCTTGTGTCATGGGGGAGGGGGTGGCATACGTAGACAGACACGGGAACAAATCAGGTCCCTGGGCAGCTCTGTAGCATCTGTAGTAATGAAGCATCGGGAACACGAGGAGGGGCGGACGGGCAGATGAAGTGTAACAGTGGAGAGGTGTTGGACCCTGAGATCTCTCCACCTCAGTCTCTCTCCAGACAGAGCATGGCCCAGTGATCTGTGCGGCATGAGCTTTAAAACTCACCCCACCCACGCCCTTTCAGACCATAAATGATGCAGACCTTAAACAGGGGTGGGTTAGTGATGAGTGACTGAGCGGTCTTTCCAGGGAAGAATAGTGGACTTACTCCTGTGCCCACGTGTTCACCCTTCCTTGCACCTCCACCCGTCCCCCTTTCCCTGGCCTCCTAGGATGGAGGCAGAGCATTCTTTTAGAGTCAGAGAGCCTGCGTTCAAATCTTGTATTGTGATCTTGGTCAAGAAATTGACCTCCGTGAGCCTCAACTTCTCCATCTGTGAAAGTTGGGGGAGGGTGCTAATAGCACCCACCATTGCTGTGAAACTGGAATTGATAATCCAGTAAGTTGCTTAGTGCCATTGCTTAGGTGTTAGTCATCTCTGTTCTCACCATGATCAGGGGCCCAGATGGTCCTTGGAGGGCTCTTCTGTCTGGAAATTGGACCTGCAGCTCTTCCTTCCACCCCTCTCTGCAGAGAATGGCGATGACCACTCTGAGGGAAGCCTGGTTGAGAACCACGTGGACGGGAACATGAACTTGCTGGGAGGCGGAGGTGGTGCCGGCCGGAAGCCCCTTAAGTCGGGCATGAAGGAGCTGGCCGTGTTCCGGGAGAAGGTCACCGAGCAGCACCGGCAGATGGGCAAGGGTGGCAAACATCACCTCGGCCTGGAGGAGCCCAAGAAGCTGCGGCCACCACCTGCCAGGGTCTGAGGGGGCTGAGTCTGGCTGGAGGCGGGGGGTGGGGGGGTGCGGGGGGGATGGGGGGCAGGGGACTTGCAAAGGGAGTATCCCAGCAGGCGGGTGGGGGAGGGGATGGGCGTGGCAGGCACCCCAGTGAGATCTACATCCTGTGTTGCCTGCAGGCAAAGCCTTTTCCTTTCGGTTCTGCCACCAACATGTTCTTTGACGTTCAGGCCGATCAGTATCTCTTTTGGTGATTTCAGTATCTCTGACTGTGGAATGGGCTGGGCATATGGATTCCTGAAGTCCCTTCTAAAACCTCCACATTCCTACTTGGCTTCGGGACAAAGGCAAAAAAATGGATGCTAGAGATGAGGATGCATCCACTTAACTTGCCCACTCGTGTGATCCGCTGCCCCATTCAGCTACCCCTCTTCCTCTCTCCAGCTCAGCTCCGCTGTCTTGGTCCTGGCCCTCCTTGGGTTTATGGGAGGGAATTGAGATTGGGCCACTGGGTAGGGGTAGAGCTACTCTAGAGGCAGCCCCTTGAATTTAGTATTTGCAAGTAGATTCCAGTTTGACCCCTGAAAGCCCTTGACACAGATGGAGGAGAGGAGTGAAAACTCACGTCCAGGCGAGTTTCTCGTCCGGTGGGGTGCATTACGGCAATATGGCAGTGAGATTGCTGGGCTAGGTGTCAATACGTTCCTGGTTCCACCGACTGACTGTGTGGCCTTGAGAAAGTCCTTTCTGTGCATGAGCCTCTTTCTGCAGCGGCACCCAGGGCCAGCGGTACGCGAGTCCGTTCTCACTCTAAGCATCCTCTTCCTGCGCCTGTGCCCACAGACCCCCTGCCAGCAGGAGCTGGACCAGGTCCTGGAGCGGATCTCCACCATGCGCCTTCCCGATGAGCGGGGCCCCCTGGAGCACCTCTACTCCTTGCACATCCCTAACTGTGACAAGCACGGCCTGTACAACCTCAAACAGGTGAGCGAGGATCTTCTTGGCCCTGGGGGTTCCTGTCCCACCACTTTTAGCCCTCTGAGGTCTCAGCTGAGTGAGACACTGAGTCTTCTGTGATGAGGGGGTGGTGGGGTGGGGACGCGAGCTGCCGGTCCAGGGAGGGCGGGGGCGGGGCTTCCCTTCTTGGCTTCCGGCGTGTGAGTCCACTTATCCACCGACCTGCCAGCAGCGCGTGGTGTCCAGGATGCGGATGCGTGGGGGCCTCTTGGAGAAGAGATGGGGGTGCATATCAATGCTTCTCGACTTTCATTGAGCATTAGGATCACCTGGAGGTGACTCATCCTCCCATTTCCTCCCCAGAGACTACCGTTCAGAAAGTCAAGTAGGGACCAAGAGCGCATTTCTAACCAGCTCTCGGGAGATGCTGATGGTCCATGGACCACACTTCCAGAATCACTGGTTTAAACCACTGATCAAGCAGCCCCTCTGGTTTCCAAGTATCTCAGGAAATGGAGAATCAGGGATGGGGAAACGCCACTTGAAATACTTCTAAAAACCATGCTAGAACGGTGTTATCAGTACATTAGAGAAAACTAAGAAAGTGTAAGTTAAAGACTCAGGAGCCCTTTCCCTCCCCCTTGTACTCTCTGTTCATGTGCCTTCTGATGATCGGCGTGCATGTGCGTATTTCCCCTTGACATTATCGATATTTTTTACACAGCCACATAGAGTTTGTAGTGATGGTTGTTAGTGGTTGTTTAATATCGATGGGCTGTGTTTTACCTAGAACCGCTCCTCACGTCCTCCAGCTGCTGCCTTGAATAGGGAGAAAAACTCTGTGTGCATTTCACGTAAGACACAGAGAAGGATTGGGAGAGAGGAAGACAGTAGTGTGGGCTCCACTGGCCATTCTGTTTTCCAGCAGAGGTTCTGAGCCCAGCTGCACACAGGGAGCTTTAAAGAATACGGATGCCCAGGCCCCATCCCTGGCGATTCAGGTTTTGTGAGTCTGGGATGCTTTCTGGGCACCAGATTTTCAAAAGCTCCCTTGGTGATCCTAGTGGGAAGTTAGAAGTGACTTAAACGGTGGATTGCAGAACCAGGACATGGGGTACGGGCTCTTCTGATCCCTCCAGGGGCATCTCACTTCCCCGCCTCCTTCACGGTACAGGCTTCTTGCCCCTTGAAACATCAGTCTAGCATTCAAAGCTGTGTGTTTGTACATCTGCCCTCTGAATGTAAGCCTGCTACTTCCTTTGGAGTGCAAAAAGAGAAATAGTGATCTCTTCTAAAGAAAACCAGGCTGCATGCTGTACCTTATGAGGAACTGCAGGGATTTGCAAGAGGAATTGATTAATGGGTAGGAACGGGAACTCGGGGAGGGGCATGCCTGGGTTGGCATCTCAGCTATGACTCTTACTAGCTCTGTGACTTTGGGCAAGTTACTGAACCCATCTGTGCTGCTTTCTGATCGTCTGTAAAAGTGGTGAAACAATGGCACCTAATTCACAAGGTGGTTGTGAGGACTGAATGGACATATATGTTAGGTGTGTACTATAAGCGAGCAGTGTATAGATGGCTTACACCATGCCCAGCACATAGTAGGACCTGTGCTAGCCGTGACTTTTACCATACCCTGCGTTTTCCATGTCACCCTGTGACTGCATCCCCCACTGGATGGGACCTCCCTGTGGGTGGGGGCTGAGTCTTTCCATCTTGGGGCATCCCCAGCAGCCTTGCTAATAACCAGAGCGTGGCCCCTGGGCCAGCAGCACCGGCGGCATGTTGGAGCTATCAAGCATGTATTGTAGGCCCGCCCAGGCCTCCTGAACGGGAGTTTGTATTTTAGCGAGACCCCCCATTTTAACCGGGTGTCCTCCACGTCCTCCTCTTCTCTCTCTTCAGTGCAAGATGTCTCTGAATGGGCAGCGTGGGGAGTGCTGGTGTGTGAACCCCAACACCGGGAAGCTGATCCAGGGAGCCCCCACCATCCGCGGGGACCCTGAGTGTCATCTCTTCTACAATGAGCAGCAGGGGGCTCGTGGGGTCCACACCCAGCGGATGCAGTAAATCACAGCCAGCCGGTGCCTGGCACCCCCCACCCCCATCCCTCCTCTCCAGAGCGAGGAGAGTGCTTGCGTGGTGGGTGGGGGAGGGTTTTCCAGGAGTTCTGACATGTGTATTTATATTTGGAAAGAGACCAGCACCGAGCTCGGCACCCCCCCCCGCCTTCCCCCTCCCCAGCTGGAGATGCCTGCACCCTCCCTCCTCGCATCCCTGCTGGAGAGGAAGGGGGTGGTTGCAGTGGCGGAGCTGGGGCAAAGGTTTGGGAGAGGGAGAAAAAGAAATTTTTATTTTTGAACCCCTGTGTCTCTTTTGCTTAAGATTAAAGGAAGGAAAAATAAAGCATGTGTCTTCTGTCTGAATCTTTGGGGCCCCCTTGGGAAAGAGATCCCCAGGATCCCCAGCCTCCTTCCCTCCAACTCTGCTCGGACTCTTGGGGACACAGGAAATGCAGAGTCTTGCTTTCCCACTCATAACACAGGATGAATGGGGCAGGAGGAAGGGCTTCTGGAAACTTGAAGTCCTTAACCCAGGTGAAATCCTCCAGTGCAGCAGGAATCCGGGGTCTCTTGCCTGGACCCTGCTGAGACTCTGGCCTGTCCTGCCCCTGGGTGGGCTCTGGCGGGGAGGGGTGAAGCCTGTGTCTCATCCTCTCTCATATTCAGGTGACACTGCAGAGGGAGAAAGGGAGCCAGGAAACAATGGAGTTGGGGTCTGGGGTCCCCTGAAATCAAGGGGAGCTCCCTCGCCCAGGGGGAGACATCTACTCAGCCCCCAAGGAGACGGAGTGGGGCTGTTGCTGGACAGCATGTTCACAAAGATGTGACCTCTGAGAATCTAGGTCTGCTGCCTGCTCGCTGAGGGGCCTGAGCAACTGGCTCCCGCGCAGCACATGTTAGCCAAGGCCAAGGGACTTTTCTGGGGCACAGATGCCGGCCTTCTTTCTAAAGCAAAAATTCTGTGTGAGAGCTCTGCCCACTTGGTTCTGTTGGCCCCTCCAACTCTGGCAGGTTCCAGGGAGCTCCCCACTTTGCAGGGAGCCACGGGGGAAGGAGTGCTCAGAGCTTTCAAGCCCCCTGTCCACGTGTGGCATCACCTTAATGTGTCCCTTCTCCTGTGGAGTCTGACCCAGAGGCAGTTTTGCCTGACCCACCTGCCTCCTGACCTTCCATCTAAGCCACTCAGGAGAGGCAGAGGGACACCTGTGGCCTGTTCTGGGGGTGATAGGAGCTTCACTTCTTGAAGAAGAAAAACAGGTCTCCCAAAGCAGACAGAGCCCCAGCCAGAGCATCTGGGCTGCACTGTTAGCTAGTGGCTGGCCACCCTGGAAGTACATTCATTCAGTTATTACTAGCTGCACTTCACAGATGAAGAAAAGGTCCCAGAGGTGCCTGACCACCACCGCTGGGGCTAGGGCCCCTAACTCCAGCTCAGGACGTCTGCTCAGCCCTGAGTTATACCCTCCCCTGTGGGCAGACGCAGGGCGTATGCTTGGAGAGAACCTGGAGGGCTTTGGGCACTGGTTGGATCTGCACTCTGTGGGTCATCAGTCCCCATGCGGATTTTCTCCTATTCACTGTTGGGTGCTCCCACCGCCCCTCTCCTGTCCACTCAGCTGGGTAGCCGGTGGCTGCTGTTCTGGGTGGGGCAGCTGTGCTGGCTCTCCTAGCAAGTGCAGTGATTTTCAACGTAGCTAACATTTAAATAGACTAAGGCACTCAAAAAGAAACAAAAAAAATTCTCATGCCAATGCCCCACCATCAGAAATTCTGATCTGATTGGTCTGGAGTGGAGCCCGGGCAAAGTGTTTATTTATTTAAATTTTTAAATTTTTAAATTTTTAAATTTTATGTATTTATTTATGTACAACCAGTTACAATGTGTCAATTTCTGGTGTACAGCACAATGTCCCAGTCATGCATATGTGGTTCTAATGCAGAGCCAGCGATGAGGCAAGAAGAATGCTGGAGTTAGGACACCTGGGTTTGAATCCTGTCCCACCACTTACTATATTCCATTGCCCTGGAGCTACATTATTGCCATCTCTGAACCTCAGTTTCCCTCATCTGTCTAATGGGGATTTCGCCTCAACAGGGCTGACATTTGATATTACCTAGTTGATAACACGGTGATATCAACATGGGATGATGGATGTGAATGTGCTTTGAAAACTATAGGAGTGTATAAAATGGGAGGGGTTATCATGGAGACACTGCTGGGGTCAGCCCTTGTGCCAGCCCCTCTGCCCCAGGGTTGCCAGCTCACTTGAGTCCTTTCTGATAAGTTGGGTTCAGTACTCCTTGTACTCTAAACCCTCTGGAGAGGTAGATTTTAGGGGTGTGGGGGCAGCACTTCTGCTGCAGCTTTAGCTACAGGAACCACACGGACTGATGTATAGCATGACCTAGAAACCTTTGAGGGTGCATAATTGCACCCCATGGGGGAAGATGGTTGGCTGGGCTTGTGGATGTCAAGCCGATTGCTCATATTCTGGAACTGCGTCTTAAAATTTTAAAGACGGGCCGTTGACAAACACTGGGCTCTACTGCCACTGTGTGGCAGTACCAGAAACTGCATCTAAATTTACACTGTGGGAGAGTCATTTGCTTAAGGGGCCCAGAATGACTCAACTGGGGATGCTTGTTGAACGAGTGAGCCACGAGACCTGTCCTAGGCTGCCCGTTCGCACGCCCTCGGAATCTGGAGACACACGCTGTAGTGACTGCATCCGTCAGATGTGTCTGGAGCACTAGTTACGTCTGATGGGGGTAGTTGAGTGTATGGGCTTGGAGGTAAGGCAGTCTTGGAACAGATTTAGAATGCTACTCCTTCCAACATGTGACTTTGGACACATTTCTAGTCTCTGAATTTCACTTATTTCGTCTTTAAATATGGAGATAATTTCTCTCTCAAAGAACTGATTTGAGATGATGAAATCAGTTCTGTCATCTAGTAAGTGCTGCGTACATGAAGTTAGTATCCTATCCTAAGCTCAGTGTTAGGGTTTCAGGATGTGAAGATGAAAAAGATGGAGGTCCCTATCCTGCAAGGGCTGATATTCTCGTGGAGGGAAACAGCAACGTCACTCCATGATGACCATGGGTGTGATGGAGGTGTGCTCGGTGCGATTAGGAGGAATATTTGTGTCTCAGAGGGGGTGCAAAGATAGAGTTGCAAAGAGGAAGCAGGAGTCTGGGGAAAGGAGAGGCATGCGTGTGTGGCGGGGTTCAGACAGAGGGACCAGCTTGAGCTACACAATGAACCTGGAGACCTGCCTGTGGTTGAGGCTGCCTGTGGTATGGGAGGTGTGAGTGGAGGAGCGCCTGCCAGGAGAGACCTTGGGTGTCTTGCTGAAGGATTTCAATTTTGGACCAAGAGCTCTCAAGAGTCAAGGAAGGAATTTAAGCAGAGGATGGGTACGGCGGGGTCTGTGCTCACTGCAAAGTGACCTCTGACTGTGATGGCTAGCATGGAGGACATGGGAGGGATGGAGGGTCCCAGCAGGAAGAGGCAGCAGTGATCCAGGTGAGAGGTGAGCGCGGTCTGAACCAGGCAGGAGAGGTGGAGAGAAGGGACAGACTGGAGAGTTGTCGATGAGGTAGCTCATTCCTGGGACCTGGGCACTCATTAGACATCAGGGGTAAAGGAGGGTCAGGCCTGGGCAGCTAGGTGGAGGGTGGAGCCATCCTCTGAGATGGCAAAGGGAGGAAAGAGATGAGGAGGAGGAGAGGGGAGATGGAGACGGAATAGTTTAGGAGGGAAGATGACGAGTGCAAATTTTGTTCTTGTTTTGAACTTGTGCTTTTAAGACACAGGACAAAGTAAGATAGGCAAAGAACTTGAGCTTACAGCATGAGTCCAGTTTTGGGCACGCTGGACTTGAGTTGTCTGGGGGATGCGGGGTGGAGAAGACATCCTTGCCTTTCCCCACATCCTCATCCCGACATCCATCCAGTTTGTGAGCCAGTCCCATGGGCTCCACATACAAGACACTGTTCCTAGTCACCCCTCCGCCTCCTCAGGGGCCCACGCAGCAGGACGGGGGATGGCTGATGGAGGAGGTGGTGGGGGCAGCAGCAAGCAGGGACAGTGGAGAAAGAGGGCTGTCGCTTGGAAACGGAGGAGGGCTGATGGGAGCTGGTGGAGAACAGGACGGTGGTTTTGTGGCTGACTCTGTGGGGCTGGGATGCGAAGACAGGACGTTCTTCCAGGTGGGGCTTGGTTTTCTCTGACAGCGAGAAGGCAGTATGAGGGGCAGCATGAGAGTGTGTTGCTGACAGGCGGGGGACGTGGAAGGTTCCCCAGGCAGGGTCTGGAGCTTAGGATTCTGTGGTGGGGTCAGCCCACAGCATGCTGGACTTTCTCCTGCAGGGCTCAGTGGGGCTGTGTGGGAGCGACAAGGGGAGGTTCATCCAGGGCCAAGGGGCTGCAGGGCAGGCAAGACCTGGACAAGTAGATGGTAACACTGGAGCCATGGGCTCCTGGCTCCCGAAGGAAGGAAACAGCCGGAGAGGGCTGATGAATGGAAACTCAGAATGAGGGGGACCAACGACTCTCATTCTCCACTGAGTAAAACCCTCACCCCGTTTCTTTCACTGTAATGGTTGTCTGTGATTTGAATCAGAGTGGGATCTTTAGACTTTCCATGCAGAACCCTTTAGGGTACCAAGGCTCAGAGCATGGCTTCAGTGTATGGAGGTGAGACCATGGAGTTGAGAATGTTTCTAAGAGTGTGGCCTCCGACCAGCTGTGACACCAAACGTGAGGGTGGGACACAAGCAGACCCCAGGCCCCAGCCCAGTCTTAAGGGGTCACAGGGCCCCGGGGGAAAGTGTGAGCAGTAAGGTGCTGTGGGTCCAATGATGAACTGTGCAAGGAGGGGCCGGACCAGGGGCCTGGCAGCCCGAAGCCAGGTCCTCAGTGACTTGGGTAGGTGAGCAGGGAGTTGGTAGGTGAGGGTTGTAGGGAGTCGGGGGCCTGGTGGAGTGGGCCCGGGGGTGGGAGGAGCCCTGAAGGAGGAGCAAAAGGAAGAAGAGTCCTGGCTCACACGGCTCCAGACAGCACGTGGGTGACAGCAGGATGAACAGCTGCCAATGGCGAGGTCAGGAGACAGTTCCGGGGCAGGCGGTGCCCTGTGGTCTGCCCTGGACCAGCGTGGCCGTCCTGCGCGCTGCTCTTGTTCACCCATCCGCCACGCCCCGCTCAGCAGCCCTGCAGAGGAAAGTGGGGAAGGCCAGTCCCTCTCTGCGCCTCCTAGTGCAGCTGCCACGCGCTCTATCCCTGCTGTCACTGCCTGGCGCTGGCTGACCAGCTTCATGCCTGCAAAGCTGTGCTTGGGCTGAGCAATCTCATGGAAGAGCACTCAGAAGGACGTGTGCCCGGTGACAGGCCACCTATAGCCAGGTAGGGATGCTCCCAGTTACTCTGCTTGCCACTTGACTTGGACGGGGCAGGGCACCGGGGCTCAGGCTGGGCAGAGTGGAGATGTCCCAGCTCCATCCTCCAGCCGTGCCTGCCGATGGAAGCCCCTGTCAGGGGTGGTGAGGGGGTCGCCCAAAGGACCATGCCCTGTTGTGGGCTTGCAGATGAAGATGGGGTCGCATGGAGGTCAGGAGAAGAGCCGGCAGGGAGTAGGGGCCTGGAGGAAGGGCAGACGGCAGGACAGTGTGGAAACTGTGCTCTTTAAGCCACTGGAGGGTTGAAATCAGGGTCACTAGCCATTTCCTAACTCTTCACCGGGCAGAAACAGCGGTGGGGGCTGGGTAGGAGCTAGAGGTTCCCAGGAGCTAAGAGCTTGCGCAGCTCTGGAATGAGTGACTGAGGAACATTCTAGCAACGCCTTCCTTAAAATCTTTTCCGAGAAGAGACCCATCATTTGCTTAAGAGTCGATGGAGATCACTTTCTTTGACAGCAGGAGCTTGGATTCAATGGTAATAATGATGACAGTCGTAGTGATAACAGGAGCTGAACACGGGTGCCGACTTGCCCTCCTAAGCACGTTGTGAACGTGAGCTCATCGCAAGGGTTTTGAAGAGATGGAGAAAGGGCACCCAACTTCGTGGGTGGGAGCGTGGGACAGGGGGCCCCCCTGGAGGGAGCAGACCCCCAGTCCTGCCTCCACCTGGTCCTGTCTCCTTCCCTCTGGAGTGTGTCCTCTCTTACCCTTCGCCTACCATCCTTGGGCCCTCGGAGGAAGCTGACGCAGGCTAACTGAATGCATAACTTTATTAAATAAATGCTTTGTCACGACAGAAGACAAAGATCAAGGAGTAACATAAATTATAAGTTGAATAAATAGTATACAGCAATCTTCACTTTTTTAATAAAACGTGAGATCCTCTGGGGTTTTTTTGTTTTGTGTTTTTATTTCCTTAGGTACAAAATGCTTAACAGGAGGCGAGCTCTTCCACATTCAGGTGATTTTTTTCCCCCCGCGTTTTCTTTTCTTTTTTTTTCCACAAACAGGTTTTGTTTGTTGGTTTATTATTTTTTTAATCCTTTTCACCAGTAAAGATTATGAGCATTTATTTAAAAAAAAAGTCGAAAACAACAACAAAAAAAGAGAGAATAGCATTATGGTATGTATGTCTGTCAGACTATAAAGAACTACGTAATACGTGCTGTGGTTATTGCGGGTTAAACAAACAAACAAACCGGTAGGCAACTCGGAATCTGAAGGAATCCTGTCTGACAACTGTCTATCCGTGTGGGCTACTGTGTGACGGTGGTGGTGGTGGTGGTGGATCTGGGACTCAGGCTGGTGGCCGGGGACCAGAGGTGGGGTGAACGGGTGCAGGGCAGCGGAACCCCCTCACCTCCCCTTTTCCCCGTCCAAAACGAGTGAAAGAGAGGAGGCCAGAGTCTGTGGAAATGACTACACTACATACTCCATTAGCAAACCGAGAAAGTACGCTTAAAAAAAGACACCAAAAACCTAAGAGAAAAAAGAAGTGGAGAAAAGTGCAAAGTAATTCTTGCACTTTAGTGGTTTTAAAAATAAAGACAGTACAACGCCCAGGTTGCTGGCTGGTAACGTCCGTTCCCTTGTCCCACCACTTCTTAAAACTTAGCCTCCTTTCTCTTGGAAGCCAAACAGATCCTCTCCGAGACCAGAGGGTGGCTTCTCCTCGGCTCACTCCTTTCTGAAATTCCCATCTGAGCTGCAGCCCCCTTGGGGACTGCAGATGGAGCGGGGGACACTGCCCCACTTGCGTAGCCCTATGGCTGCTGATGAGCTGGGTGATGGGAGAGTGGTGGTCCAGGCCCATCTCCCCAGAGGAGGTTGGCCCTGCTGGGTTACCATGGAGACCACTGAGGTGGTGATGGGAAAATGGACAAGGGGTCAGGAGGAGGGACTGACTACACAGGGCCCCCCACCCTCCCCCGTGCGGGGGCTGAATGTCTCCAGGCCTGTCTGTCCAGGCCTGGCTGTCTGAGAAACTTTCAAGTCTCTTCCTTCGCAGACGCCCTGCTTTCCCTGGTAGGTAGTGCAGCTCTGCGGGAAGGAGGATCAGTCCTGGCAAGGCGTCCCTCCATCACCTGGCAGCAGTGGGGGATAAGAGGTCTCCACTGCCAGAGTGAGGCGAGTCAAAGGGGGTTGGGCAGAGGCCTCCTGTTGGGGTGACAGGGCAACATTTAGACTTGAGGCCACAGGAAACCCGGAGCCTAAGGCCCTCTAGGTGAGCAGACGGTGGCCAACAGGCAGCCTGGAGTCAAGAGGATCCCTGCTCAGGACTTCACAGCTGGCAGCATGCGACACCTGCCTTCCCCCTACCCTGCCTGGGGGAGGTCCACCTTCCTCAATGACTCCCTCCTCATGGGCTTCCCGCTCTGGGCTCAGGCCAGACCTTCCTCTGTCCTGAAGGTCCAGCATCCTCTAGAGAGTGGCCAGCTGGCCAGAATCCACTCTCCCCAGCCCCCTGCAAGAACTAGAGACTCACAGGTTTGGGTGAGTTGGCATGAGATCTGGAGACCTGGAGAGATGCGTGGCATTAAACCAGGCCATAGTCCCCTACCTTATGGCTGACAGCAAAGAGCCCATGGGAGGAGCAGAGGCCCATTCAAAGTCCAGTAAACAGGGGAGCCCCCTCTCAGGAACCAGGAGCCAGGTCCTGGCCTTGGGAGGGATGGGGTGGGGTACGCAATTCCTGGCTCAGTCTTTTCTTAGGGGGCATGGCACCCCAGTATCCACCTGGCAGATCCCAGTTAGAGGACTGCTCAAGGTCCAAAGAAAGAACAGGCAGAAAGAAGAGTGAAGTGGGAAGGCTGACGATACTGGCCCAAGACACTGAAATGTGAGTTGGGGGCTTGGGGACAGTTGTGGAGAGAGATGGGGCACACTGACACAGAAGCACAAGTCAGTCCTTACGGCTTTCATCCATCCCCATCAGGCCCTTTGTCCTCTGAAGATTGACCACCTTTCCCATCCCAGCCGACTGTCCTGTCCGGGAGAGCCGGAGACGTCCCCCAAGTTCAGAGTTGCAGGCTTTCCACCTGCTGAAATGTTTTCGCTCTTCAGCTGTCCCTCTTCTTTGCCCCAAGTTCGCTTCTGGAGTGGTTTCCATGGTGTCATGCCAACAGGAGAGTGGAGAGAAGTATGTTCACAGCAAGGAAGGGTCTCCTTTGCCACGTCCAAGCCCCCTTTCCTGGCCAGCAATGTCCATCCTCAGAGGACAGTCCCAGGCCCGCCCACTTGCTGGGGCAGTCAGTGAAGAATAGGGTTTTTTCTTGGTTCAGAATCTGGCCTCCAAACGGCAGTACCCCCAGAGCATCCATTCCCCGGCTGTCCTGGGCCTTTCTGCCATCCTCCACCCCAGGAAGGAAGCCAGAACTGGCCAGAGAGGACAAACAGCTTGGAAGACTCTCCGGCCTCAGTCCCCCATTGCAGGGTGAAGGTGGGCACTGGAGCACACAGGCTTGTCCTTTCAAAAGCCCAGCTAGTCTCTCTGGATCTTTGTTTCCATACAGCTGCTAGTCTAGAACCCACCTACAGTTACCCACCTTCCCCGGCTCGAAGGCCTGGATTAAGCTCATTTCTCTCTTGCAATCTGTTCCCCTAAACTCTCCTTCCTCTTAAATCCCAGAGGGCTTAGAAGGGACCCAGGGAGGTTTCTCTTCGTTTTGTCCCCTTTTCTGTCGCTTTGCTCCAAAGCTAGAATGGGGCAGTCAGCCTCCTGTCCCTCCAGCCCTCTGCCCCTCCCTCCATCTGCTCTGGCCTGCACAATCACTTTGACTGTTTCCCCATCTCCATCTTTTCCATCCTTATTTCAGTCTGTCTCCTGCTCTGCCAGCGTGAAGTCTGAGAGAGGTTTTCCAAATGCAGGCTCTGTCCAAGTAACATGAAAAGGCTGGGCAGGACCAGTGGGTCAAATGGACCTGTTGGGTTCATTCGGTTTAGGGCCCAGAGATAGTGACTTCCTGAGGGTCTAAAGGTGAATGGGGTGTCCTGGGGAGCAGGTGAGTGCACCACTGGGTGTGTTCATCGACCTGGCTTGTTGGTACAAATGAACATACGTGCATGTGGGAAAACACATACACACAAAAATCCAACACTGTGTCCCACAAAGCGTTGAGTCTGTGCTCATGGGAGATGGACAAAACTGACATTATGGGTTGTGTTAGAAGGACTGAGTTTTCTTGGTTTTCCCAGAATAAGGATGCTCTTCCACGCCCCCATAGAAACTACTTGGAGAAGTTAATGCAAATTGACAGAAAGGAAGGAATAAAGGAAAAAAAATAAAGAAAATAGATTTATATGCCTATATATGACTATATGGAGCCTTGTAGATAAATACAAGCCCACTTTTCTTTCTTTCTTTTTTTTTTTTGAGCCTACCCTCCCCCACAGAGGCTGTGCGAGTTGGGAGTTAGAGGCAATGAAGGGCTGAAACCACAGGCTTCATTCAGCACGTTGTCGCTTTAGCCGCCCTGGAAGAACATGTCTTTCCACTATTGGGGTGTGGCGTGATTTCTCAAAGTTTGCCCCGGGGAGTGAAATATGCTTGTATACTTAATATTCACGCATCTTCTTAGGAACACCTACTTATCTAATATCACTTGGTTGTGAATTTGCTCTGTGTTGAGAGGAATGGAATGCAGTTTAGTGTTTGTAAATTGGGGGCAGATAGAACAGAGTGCTGGGGTGGGAGGAGAGGAAGGACAGGGATAGAGCCGCGCAAGCTGCTGGCTGCAGGAGGAGACAGATCCAGGAGAGGCAATGACACTGGTGCCTTTTCCCTTCTTCCCCCTGCGACCCATCCAGACTGGGCAAACTCCAAGGCTGCCATCAGATGCTACACCTTGGGCCACGCCTTCTGATGCCCAAATGGCTCCCCAGCTCGGGCCAGGGCTGGGTGTAAGGATGGATGCTTCTGGCCCACATTCTGCTTTTCCTTCTTGTAACTATTCACTGTTCCCTCTCTTGCACACGTATGCCTCCCTCCCTTCTCTTTCTCTTGCTCCTCCTCTCTTGCCCTCCCTGTTCATTCAACTTGCCTCAAAAAGAAAACCTTTTTTTTAAGGGGGGGTCTTCTTAGATTTTTGCATCTCCATTGTTGCCGTTTTCAAAGTTGAGAACTTGCGAGAGATTCCGAGGTCCTCAGTTTCCTCAAATAGATAGATATATGCTTTTTTTTTCCCTTAAATGAGATGAAATGAGTGGCATCCTGGGGTGGAGGGAGGTGCTGGCTGGAGTCAGGGCTGGGGGTAGGATGGGGTGAGGGAAGGATGGGGAGGGGACGCATCACTCAACGTTGCTGCTGTCGAAGGTGTGGCACTGAAAGTCCCCGTCGACATACTCCATGCCTGGCAGCTTCATTCCGTATTTGTCCACGCACCAGCAGATGCCACGTTTGCGGCCACGGGAAGGCTTGCACTGGGGTGGGAGAGTGACAGGAAGTGAGGCTCTGCTTCTACCTGGCCCTACGTCTCCCCCTGTCCCCCAAGACAGACCCTCACACCCAGAGAGCTGAGGGAGCTGTACCCAACCGTTGGGGTTCTGGTGTCCACGCTGCCCCAGAGGACCCGGGGAAAAGTCCTAATTTAGGCAGTCTGCCCTTGGCTAGCTCCTATAACTTTTTTTTTTTCATGTCACCCATTCAGGGTCCTCCAACTTGGTATTCTCCAGAGAGCTACGTGACCTGATAATGGCGATTATAATAATAGGAGGCGTCACTGGTACAGCTGCATCAGGCACCAGACACCACTTAGCACTTACTGCTAAGTACTGCGTGCTGCTCTAAGTGCTTTCCCAAGACGAATCCATTATTCCTCATAATCACGTGAGAATAATAGGTACAGTTATTCTCCATTTTAATGAGAAACTGGAAGCAGCAACATTAACTAACTGGGGTAAAAGAACACAATTCGTAAGCAGGGGAACCAAGGACTGACCCAAAGCCTTCTGGCTCCTGACTTCTAACTGAGATGAGGGGTGCCCTAATGGAGCATCAGAGTCACCTGGAAGGGAACTTGTTAGAAACGCAAAGTTCCCAGAGTCCACCCCATCAGAAGCTCTGGGGTGGGGCCCAGCAGTCAGTGTTTTAACAAGCACTTGGGGGTGATGCCGGTGCCCTGGGAAGTCTAAGAATGACTGCCCTAAAGCCATGTGTACTCCTTAACAGGCTAATAGTACCAGCTAACCAGCAGTAGGGATGCCCAAAGGGTAGTCTGGTTGTGAATGGGACACAAAATGATTTCAGGTGGTATGCAGTGAGAATACACTGAGTCATACATGTGTATATTTATGTGTATATCAGAAAGTAACATGCACAAAGTGTGATGCGACGCGGTGATGGAAATAGAAAGTTTCCTTTTTAAATGATTTCGTGTACATGAGGCGAGTCATTAAAATGTCAGTAGACTCTAGTGTAGGAGGAAACAGGGAACATCACGATTGCCACATGTGCCAGGAGATGGGAGGTTTGGGACACACTGTGGTTAATGACAGAAACCCAGGCATTCAGAGGTAGGGGTTTTGGGCAAGTGCCATTCCAGGAGCCCCCTGAACTTGGGGCATGGGATGGGGCATACCTGCTTTCTCTTGTAGAATCCTTTGCGGTCACAGTTGGGCAGGTAAACGGCGCGGGGCACCATGCGCGGGCTGGCTTTGAGCTCCTGCAGGGAAGCCTCCATGTGCCTGCGGCAGGGTCCCTGTGTGCGAGTGGGAGGGGTGAGAGGCATGGTAGGAACCGAGCAATCACCTGGACTTGCAGAATGGGGTGTGGGAACTAAAGGGTCTGTGTGGAGAGTCACTACTTTTCGTTCCCATAAGTTGCTACTCAAGGTCTTCCTCTGTCTCACCTGCTGCGCCCCCTGAGGGTACAAAATGCTGCCACGCATGCTTATTTAGACGCGAGGCAAGGTCAAAAGCTAGGATGGTGGCAGAAGCTGCGGGATACGGGTGCAGGGATAGATGGGAAGAGAATCCTTGAGGCTCACCTGCTCTGATTCCTGTCTTATCTCAGGTGCAGAGATGACCCGGGGGTGGGCAGTGTTCTCAGCTCCCCCGACGAACTTGGACTGGGTCAGCTTCTTTCTGCGGTCCTTCTTCACGGCCTCAGCCTTCAGCTCAGAGATGCGGGTGTGCTTGGGCCGGAAGATCTTGGGCGAGTAGGTCTCCTCCGCCATCTCGGAGGTGGTCGGCTCCTCGTGCTCGCGGGAATCTCTCTCTGCAGGGAGATGGGGGCGGAGGATCAGCCTCTGTGGTCTGAGACACCACCGTGCAGAGCCCAAGGCTTGAAGGTTTGGGATGAAGAGACGGGCTGTCTGTTTTCCTGAGCTTACCAAACCGGGGAAAGCAGGGAAATAAGAACCAGAGCATGAGTTAACACTCGTGTAAGTGGTGGAAAGTCCAGTAGGGTGAATCTGGGGAGACTTCATGGAGTAGGAGAGTGTAGGAAAAGTCAAGCCAATACAGGAGAGGAAGTTGCACAAGAGGGAGAGGACAGTCTGGGGATGGAAGGTGGAGGGAGAGGGCTGTTTAGTTCTTTTTTTTTTTAACATTTTTAAATTGATTTATAATCATTTTACAATGTTGTGTCAAATTCCAGTGTACAGCACAGTTTTTCAGTTATACATGAACATATATATATTCGTTGTCACATTTTTTTTCTCTATGAGCTACCATAAGATCTTGTATATATTTCCCTGTGCCGGGAGAGGGCTGTTTAAGGGCTTGTTTGCCTGGGGGCTGGCTAAGCAGATGGGGTAGTGGCTGGAGGTGGGGCTGCAATGTAAGAACAGGATCTGGAGACCTAGGCTGTCTGAGAGACCTAGGGGACGGCCAGCACGTGAAGAGAGGCCAAATCCATCCTCTCGTGAGGTCTTGGTGCTTCTGGAACTGCTATAACTGGGATCTATCTGGACTTGCGGAACTGAAGGTAGGAGGGACCTGGGGAGTCTGGACTAGCAGGGTAATGGGGACCATCATGAACAGCAGGAGGAGGGGACCTGGAGAGCCAGAAATGTGGGGTCTGGAGGGAAGCAGTGCCGGTGGGTTGGGGGGACATGGAAGCCCATGCTTCCTGCTCAGAGCTGGCTCTATGCTCTGTGTCCTGGAGGCTGGGACATAGCTCCAGGCCAAGAGAGGCAGACAGCTGGCTGGGCTGGAGCAGTTATATATAGCAGTGACTTGGTGACAGTCTATACTTAGCTGACTTATGACCTTTAAAGAACTAGGACTTTGTTCGTTTATTTGTTGATCTGTTTAATTCCACCTCCCTGGCCTTTTCTTGGTCCACAGATTTCCATGAAATTCTCATCTCACAGGCACCCTTTTCTGGGTCCCCACCCCTCCTCTCAGCTCCTTGACCACACCAGCCTTGGAAGACCCAAGGTGGAAGGTCTCAGATGGCTCTTCCCACGTGGGCAAGGTGTGGCCAGGATGCCCATGGCAAGAGCAGGTGCAGTGCGGGCGGGGGCAGGGAGCCCTGTCTTCTCTGCCCTCTTTTGCCTTCAAATTGCAGAAAAAGAAAATAGGCTTTTGGGGGTGACCCTGAATAACTCAGATGGGGTGAAGGAAAACCCTATTCTCCACCCATGCCACTGTCACTGGGTTCCCCAGGAGCCACGATGACAAGGCATTGGGATGGGAAATAGAAGGAGAGGAGTCCAAGGAGATGTGGATGAGGGAAGATACAGGGAGAGAGCAGCTTGGTGAGAACACGAAGTTTTGTGTCCCCAGGGCAGGAGCTCCCAGCCCCTGGGCAAGTTCCAGGTGTATAAGGGAGGCGTATGGAGACCTGGCCTAACCTGGTTAGGATGGCAGGGCTCTGGTATGGAAGTCCCCTGCCATGAAGAAGCCTCCAGTGGTTTGCAGGGTTCAGAGTGGTTAGTTGACTTGGGTACTTATCCATGGAGAAGAAGGGAAGTGGTCCCTAGAGAAGGTGATGGGGAGAAGGCAAATGGCAAAGCAGTGGGCAGGCTGTCCCGGAACAAAATTCCACACCAGGATCCCTGTCCCCACTTCCAGCCTTTCACTCCCCTCTTCCCCCCAGGTCCTGACTTGGTGCTCTGACACGCTGTCAAACTTGCTGGGATGAGGAGTCAGGATGCTGCTGTGCATAATTGGTGGGATGAAGCCTTCTAGCTAACAGAGTGATGTTTTGGCGATGTTTCTCTTGGTTGTGGGATGAGCTAGAATGGGGATGGGATGCAGGGCGGAGCAAGCCGATCAGTACAAACTGAAAGGTGAGGGCTCTGTTACCTAGTAACTCAGGCCTAAACTCAAGTCCCAGGTCTGGGGGAAGAGGGTGAGGAGAGGAAAAGCTAACATGGCCCGGAAGGCTGCTGAGCCCATCTTACTGAGTGACTTGACACTTCACGCAACGGTTGCTGGGCATCATCAAGCATTCTGATCCTCAAAAAGCACCTGAGCTTTTGGGTAGTGGGGAGGACCATGGAAAGGCTGGGAGCATTCTAGGGGTGCATGGCCACACCCCTTCCTGCAATCAAGCTTGTAACCAGATGCAGGGAGCAGAAGAGGGTGAGAGGGCCAGATGCTGACCAGTGCATGGAAGAAAGGTGAGCATCTTCTTTGAGGATGCTCTGGCCTGGCCTGAAGGGCTGGCAAGCTGTCCTCAGGGGCACCTGTGGAGCTGGCCTCCAGGAGTTGCTCCTTCATCAGGAGAGATCTGAGGAAGCTGCTTACCTCCAGTGACTGGCTGTACCAGCTCCTGGAATCCCTCCAGTAGACCATCTAAACCATTCCCCTGGGTCCAGGCAAAACCAAGAATATGCGCCCATCCCCATGGTGCTCTTTCTAGTTCTTAAAGATACCTGGAATGGGGGGTGCCATCCACCCTCTTCTGGCCACCCGTTTTTGGGTCCCCCTCTCCCTGTGGTCAGAGGTTGTCACCATCTAGACGCTGTTGCACATTATCTCTCTCTCTTTTTCTCAGTTTTTTAAACTTTTATTGTGGTATGATTCCTGTACAACAAACTACACAGATTTCAGATGTACACTTTGATGAATTTTGATAGATGTATACACTAATGAAGCCACTACCACAATTAAGATAGCTAACACTTCCATCACTCCCCAAGAGGTGTTGCATCTTCTCTTACAGAGCTTCTCTCTCTGGCCTGGGGGGTCGTGGAAGCCTGTTGGAAGTCTCCTGGCCCTCTGCTCATCAACAGCTCTCCTCAAGGCTCTTCACATTTTAGGACTTTTTCTGAGAAGTGCTGTGGGCTGCCCTTAACCTTGAGTTACCCTTCTGGGGAAGAGGATGGGGCTGTTAACAGCGGTTAGAGAAACTTTGGGGCAAATTACTTGGACCTCTTAGTCTTGTCTCTGAAAGTGTTAGCCTTGGGACCAAGCAAGGATGGTACTAGGCCACACATTGTAGATTCCCGTACCTTCTTGAAGGAACTCAAGATGTTTTTGCAAATCCTCTCTCCTTCCCCTGGCCTCACCAAGGCAGGGTTCCTGAGGGCATACCCTCCCCAGTTTGCAGGCTCTTTGGCTCTTTCTGAAGGGCAGGCTTAAAGTTTTGATGTGCCTCCCAGTTTTTGGTGCCACTTAACACCATGGGACCTATTACTTAGGCAGTGGGAGAGTCGAGTATCAAAGATACTAATCAGGGTCTTATGGTCACCTGTAGGCTCCAGAGAGACAGTGGAAACTTGGAGCAGAGCCACGAAGATGAAAGGTCTGGAAAGTAAGACCCGAGCTGGAATGCCAGAGCCAACTAGCCCTGCTCAGCTGCTTTGTGGCCGAGTCACAACTAGGCTTTCAATTTTGGAAGGGTGTAACTTTTAGATAAAACAAGAAAGCACAAGCAGCCTGGCAGCTTCTGAGCTGTTTTATCAAAACAAAATGCACCAAGGTTGCAGAAGGGATTTAGGTGGGATATAAAGGAGGACTTCCTGGTGAAGTTGCCCCACACCTGAATCTAATCTAGGGAGTTTAGTGCAGTGTGTTTCGGAGCCCTGTCGACCAGCAGGGGTCAATACCTCCACATGGCCAGTAGATGGCGGAGGAGACTGATGGCCACAGAACGTGTCCAGGATGCTTCATTGCAGGGACTGTAAGCAATTTTAAAATCTGGAATGTGTGTGCCTTCCTCTTATACTTCTCTGACAACCACCCCAATCCTCCCCTCTCTGTGTGTCTGCAGCATGCATTTAAAGGATCAGAGAGACGGACAAATGAGGACCAGAAAGGACCCACATTAGTCCAGGATGGAGAAAGCAGGTGTAAGAGGGGGGACAAGGCTTACCTGTACACAATCCCTTGATATTTTTTTAAATCTGTAACTGAAACATAATCAAGGAACAAAGGAAAACAGATCTAGGACCTCCTGCTATCTCTAGATGTCATTTTGAAAGGATTCTGCAGAGGGTGGACAAGGGCATATTCGACATTGTTCCCTCCTCTGGGAAGCAGGGCCCTTTAATCCCTTGGTCTATCCAAAGACTAAGGAAGCAAGGGCTCTCCTATTGTCCTGGTATTTATCTCTGGGCTGCATTTTGATTCTGCTCCGTTCTACTCCCAAGTCCTGCCAGCCGGCTCTCTGATGACCCCAGCCCCTGCCATGTTAGGTGGCCAACTCAGTTTCTCCCTGATTCATGATGGGCTGCCCCTGAGGCATGCCCCCTGGTGACATGAAAATCTGCTTGAAGATTATGTCACCCTCATGTCCCAGCAAACCCAGCTGCTGTGGACCCAAAGGCATCCTGGGGTAGGCACTGCTAGTCACAGTACAAGTGCCAATGCATCCTCCCTACCCAGGCTCCACCACTGTCTGCAACCCCGCCCTCTCGCGGCTGCTGCTCCCTTGCTGGAACAGGATGATTTAGAAACAGGCACAGGCACAGGCACGTGCTCTTAAGGGCCATTCTCATTCCACCTGCTCCCTAGTCCCAGTGATGGGTGGTCCAGTCCTTTTGCTTCTTGAAATCTAACCTTCCATCCTGGGGCTCTTGGTACTGCACTGGCACCACAAACAGCCTGGTGCCAGCCTGGTGGTAGTTTCCCATTCTATCTTGACCTCATAGTCAAACTTAAGAGAAAACGGGTGGCCCAGATGTTGCAACTTTGCTTACAGAAATGAAAGAAACTGAGGCGTACTCGGAACTCACAGCTCCAGAAGAATGTAGGGCTTGGCCAGGCCACCTGGCCCTGGGGAGGGGAAAATTCTCTTTTTCTAGCCAGAGCACAAGATGGGTTCGCCCAGAGTCTCTCTACAAGGAGTGAAAAGGGGAGCTGGGTTTCCACAGGCTCCCATTCTAGCTCCCTCTGTGGGATTCCAGTAAACTTCTTAAAGAAAGAACTTGGTCATTGATCTTTGTCTCCCTGGCACATGGGCTTTAATAAATAATCTTTAAATGGAGAGATGTGTGAATCTGCTCACAAGAAAAAGAGAAGTAGGTCAACGAGTGGTTCTGTAATATAAGCTGGGGCACGTTAGAGCTCAGTGGATGCCTTGAGGGATCATGTCATGCATACCCCTGCCTTTAAGCACAGTAACTGCCACAGGGAACCAGGAGGTGGGGAGATAAGCCTCACAGGATTGGGAAGAAGTAGGGACACCCTGGATTTCCCGGGCTTCTTTGATCTAAGACTGTGCTGTCCAGTACAGTAGCCACTAGCCACATGTGCCTATTTGAATAAACAAGTATTAAATCAAATTACAAATTCAGCTTCTCAGTTGCTTCAGCCACATTTCAGGGGCTCAATAGCCACATGTGGCCAGTGGCTATTGTGTTGGACAGCACCGATACAGAACATTTCCATCGCCGCAGAAAATTCTACAGGACAGCTCCTCTGAGGACACTGATCTGTGTCTGGGTAAGGCTGGATGCTTCGTGCCTCCTCCCCACTTTGCCCTGTTTCCTAGTCAACTTGTAGCCTCCTGCTCTTTGCCACAACATGAGGCTTATGCAAAAATGATGGCTCAGCTGCTCACTGTTTAAAAAAATCTGAGACATGTCTCAGTCTCCTGAAGTTCAACCGTTTCCCAGCTGCAGATACCAAGAGACTCAATTACACTGTGTGTGTGCCTTTGCATAAAGAAAAGGGGGACAGGGGCCGTAGGGACGGCGTGGAACCTTCCGGGGAAGCTCCAGCATCCCTGCTCCTCCCCATAGCATCTTTGACCAGTGTCTTCCCTGCCCCAGTCTCTCTTGGAAGACTCTGTTTTCTTTTCCTCTGTGGTCAGTAACAGATGCGCATGTTCTGGGCTCTTCTTAGCCTGAATTATGAGCTGAGAAGGAAAGGAGCGCTGACGTTCCAAAAGAAAAAGAGATTAAAACAACTGTTACCCTAAGGAACAGTTGCAAGAAGGGAGGAGTTGCAAAAAGACACTGGAGGGGAGTCTTGCTGACTTGAGGTGAGTGGCAGAGGCAGGGAGCAGATTCAGAGAGTCGGAGACTGGACAACAAGAGTGATGAGCTTACCCCACTGAGCTCCTTTACAGCCCCCAGCCCATTTCAGGCCAGGAGAACCAACAGCAAAGTTGGCCATCGTAGGTATGTAACATCTCTGTCCTGAGCAGAGAAGTAAAGACATGGTATAGCAAAGCAGATAAATAGAATCAGGAACCAGACTGCCAGCGCTTAACCTGCAGTCACCCTTCCTGGAGGGAAGATGGGGCTCAATAAGTCTTGGTGCAGACGTGCTTTGACCTCTCTTAGTCTCTTCCTCGCCTCTCCTTGTCTTAGTTTCCTCATCTGGGTTACTGAGAGGATGACAATAGGCCCCTCTCCAAGGGTCATGTGCTAATGAACTCTCAGCACAGGTCTCTGTGTTTGTAGATCTCTGTTGCTTCTAGCCTCCCGTGTTCCAATCATCAACTAAAAATCTGGTTGCTGTGATACACAGTTGACAGGTGTCTACTTGTAGACCACAAGATCTAAGGCTCTTCAGTCTGCAGAAGGGTCTGTTGGGAAGCGATGGCTCTGCCCTGGTCTTCCCAGGTAAGAGGGACTTTGCACAAATGCTTCTGCAAACCAGTTCCCACTTAGAGAACTCAGCCTGGGAGTTCGTCCCTTGTCTAATCCCATTCCTTCATGCTACATTAAGGCACGAAATCTCCTTGCCTAAAGATGGAGAGAAAAGGTGACCCACCACCCTCCTCAGTGCAGATGTGGTAGGTGTCAAGTTGGTGACATTTCTTCAGAATGAAAAGCTGGGGTCCCACTCACACATCTTCCACTGTAAAGGAAGGGTCCTCCTCATTTTCCCTCCTTGGGGCCAAACTAGGATGCAGGATCGTGACTCAGGGATCTCTTGATCCCTGGGAGGCACCTGGTGATAAAGTTACACGTAAGAAATACACTTATGCACAGCTCCCAAGGTGAGTGTCTCCAGCCAGGTCCCTCTAGACTTGGGGAAGGTGGAGCATGCTCAGTAGAAGCACCTGTATCCTTTATCTACACATACCCCACACCAGGCATGAGGTGGGCAGCAGCCTCTGAATGGGGGGAGGGGAGCTGAGGAGAGGGAGGAAGTGAGGGGCCATTTCTCTGACCTAGCCACACTCCCATGCCTGACTCATCACAACCCATTCAGGACAGCACAGTTGAGTAGCCACATTTCCTGAAAAGTCCGGCATGACAAGAAGGGGGCTGCAGGGAGCAGACGGTTTGAATTCTTTCTTTTTCTCCCTGGCCCCCTGAAAGACTTGCTAGGAGTCAAACAAGGGAGTCTGTCCTGTGTGACACTTATAGTTCAGACTCTTTTCCTCCTTGAGTGTTTTGGAGCAGGAGGAGGGAGAGTGGAGACAGCAGTTCCCTCCTCAGGTAAGGGAAGGGCTCACTGGTGGCCACTGTCCAATAAGGTGGCCACTAGCCACATGTGGCTTTTGACACTTGAAATGTGGCTAGTGGAACTGAATTTTAAAATTTATTTCATTTAAATTAATTCAAGTTAAAAAAAAAAAACCAAAAACAATACCCGGTTTGGTTATTGGAAAACTTCTGAGTATGTTTGGGACAACTTGGGTATATGAGTCTACTTTTTCAACTGTGAATCTTACGAAATCTAAAAATACAGGTCATGTATTTCCAATGAAAATTTGGTGTCTGAACTGAGATGTGCTATAAATGTAAAATGCACGTCAGATTTCAATGACTTAATATGAAAGAACGTAAAATATCTCATAATTGTTTATTTTGAGTGTAAGTAAGAATTATAATTTATCAGATATAGTGAATTACAATATGCAATTAAAATTAGTTTCACCTGTTTCTTCTTACCTTCTAAAAAAGTGTGGCTTTTAGAAAGTTTGAAATTACTTAACACGTGACTTCTGTTATATCTCAATTGGACAGTGCTCTTCTAAAGGGTCTTTAATAAGTCATCTTCACTGAAGTGACAGGGAAACTGGGGAGCATGCCCAGTAGAGCTGTGATGGTGCAATTTAAACAGTTCACATGAAGCATCTCTGCAAACCAGCAGAGGTCACATGAAGCTGGTTCTGAGTGCAAATTCAGTCTGAGTCTTGCTTCAGGATTTGGCAAAGGAAGAGGATGATCTCTGATGGTTTAGGCTGAGAGATCAAAAATAAGGTAAACTATTTATTTTATTTTATTTTATTTTATATTATTTTATTTTATTTTAAATTTTATGTTCCTCAGGCAGGAAACAGCTCTGGCCGACCAATCCAGGCATCAAGCTAGGATGAACAAAGGGCTGGACATCTTCTTTGCCCCTGACTGATATAAGAGCAATGCCACCAATCAGGTGTCTCTTTGCCCATTGCCAGGGGGTTCCTATTTATTTTAAAACTCCCCTAGGGCTCACCTGGTGGTCTAACCTATAGGGAAGAGAGCCTTATCTTATCTGCCTCCTTCTTAGGAATCCCTCATGGGAGGAGCTGCCGCAGCCTCCAAGATGTATGAGGATGACTCCCGGCAATTCCTCAGATCAACCTGAGGCCCCCAGCTGTAATCTGGAGGTCTTCCTCTCCTCTCCTCCTGAAAGAGCTCAGACCCACCTGCATGTTAAAAAGCCCTGCGACACTCTCGCTTTCTTCCTTGACAACTTTGGTGGCATGCAGTTTTCTCTTTTCTTCTGATGCACAAATCCCGCAGCACTCCCTCATCCCGCCTTGACCTGAGCTCAGCTCTCAGCATCCTGCCACCCAGCTCCATGGAAGCCCTCGCCAGTGGGGGCTGGTTGCCATGGGCAGCCAGATGCTTCTGTGCTGTGTGCTCATAGAGACTGCAGACCTCGGCCCAGCCAACGGGCAGGGAGGGCCTGCCTGCCCCCTCCCCCCCATTAGCAGAGTTCCCTGTCTTTCAGGAAATGAGGTCTGGCACATGGACTGTTGGGCCGGGCACCACCCCTTTCCACCCTCCTTGCCCCCATCTGTCACCAAACCACTGGTCTAAGCCAGAGAGGGACTGGAATAAAGAAGTGCTGCACTCTCCACCTTGGGGCCACTTCCTTCCCTCAAACGGAGCACCCCCCAGTTCTGAGCTCTGACCTCACCTTCACAAACACTGCTATGGGATGACAGCATTGGTGGTGTTTGTCAAAGGCTTTATTGAGGTTAGACCAGGCCCAGGCCAGGGCCCTAGTGCCTAAGGAAGAAAGCTGGAGATAATGGAATGGAGGCTTAGACTCAACAGGGTTCTAAGACTGAGATGGAGTGCTGGCTCTGCCTCTAACCCTGCCCCTAATTCTGGGCTAGTGACTCGCACTTTGGGCTTCAGCGTCCTCATCTGTAAATAATGGCCCCGACTGCCCCGTGCCACAATCATCGTGGGTCCCTTCCAGCTGTAGCATTCTTTGGCCAATACCCAGACAATTCCTGGAGAGACGCGAGGGCCAAGCTAAGCTGAGTGGCCAGGCAGGAAAGGCCACTTCAACTCTCATAGAGATTTCCAGTCACTGCTCTGAATTCATATTTAAGAAGAAGGAAAAAAAAAAGACATCATAACAGAAATCATGGAAAGAAATAGAGCTGGAAACAAGCGTGGGGATTCTCTGGAGCAGGAACTTAGAACTGGCTTTTCTGTTTATTTGCTTCTTTATTTTTCAAGTATGTAATAAATCTTATTGTTTCGGAAAGCATATATCCAGATTAAAACTGAAGGACGGTCTCTAGCTTGCAACTTTTGGACTGACTATGGTAGAAAAAACTGAAAAACACAAACTCAAACCAAATGCTACCAAACTGCTTCCATGTCTTTCAGGGCAACCATTCTTAGCCCTCTTCACTTATGCTTCCAGGGGGACCTCATTGGTACCCGGTCTATTTACAGTGCTCTTCCAATTTCTGGAGGCAATGGGCCTGGAAAGTGGTGGTCCCGTCTTCAAAATCTTATTTTCCATACATTACATAACTCAAAGCTTCAAAGATATTGCTCAGGTACAAAGCAAAAACTTTAGACGACAAAAAATCACCTTCCTTTTCTGCTAGCTCCTCCCCCTCCCCCCTCCCCACCTTCTGTTGGGATTCCTGCTCACATGCCCTTTGTTGCAACCCTCCCGGTGACCTCTGGCTCCTAGGTCAGCCTGGCCCTCCCTCTGCAGCTGCAAACCCACCTGCCTGCTCAAATCCAACCCCAGCCCCGGGGCTAACGCACAGCTGCTCAGACTAAAACTCAAGCCCTCAGGGGATGCCGCGGAGTTGGGGGTGGAGAAGGGGTTGGGAGGGGAGGGAGTGGTAAGAAATGGGGGGAAAGAAGAGAAATGGAAGGAAAATGAGCTCTCACTTTGGTCAACAGGGCTTGTTCTTCCAGTCAGAGCTGACACAGCAGAAAGAGGAGAAGGGAGGGGAGGGGGAAGGCAAGAAAAGTCATGATAAAGCACCCTCTCTTGTCTTCCTTCCCAGCTTCCATTTTGGTTGGTTCGGGCCATGGCCAGCCTCCTGAAGGCTTGTTTCAAAGGGAGGGGATACGGGTGGGAAAGGAATCTGGCTCCTTCAGTTTTTCCATGATCTTGCTCAACCCAGACACAAATTTGGCCAATAAAACTAACTCTGGGACTTGACTTCAACATGGCACTTGGACCAGGCTGGGAGTGGAAGCCAGGGCGATGGAGGGCCAAACCCCTCAAAGAAGCAAAAGCTGAATTCATTTTTATTTAGGTATTTGTTTTTCTTTCCCAGAAGCATGTTTTCTGTTCTTCCTTTCTTATTTCTCAATGACAGAACTGAAACCCAGAACCCACTTCTCCCTGTAGCCCAAACTTAATGTCTCACAGGCACAAGAGAAATCTTCCAGACCTAGGCAAGTATGCAGGCCAGTAAAGCCACAAGGCTCCTTCTCCAAACATGCCCAGAGCAAAGCCGGGTCCTTCCTTGACTCGACCCAGCGCACCCATATTTATTGAGCTTGTCCCAATAAATAACTCCTGTCTCCCGCCTCCCTCCAGCCTCACACACACTGCCCTCTGTTTCTGTATCTATCTTTGCCTCTGAACTGGCCAAAATAAAATGCAAGGCCCTAGCGCTCCCAGCACCGAGCTCCCGGGCGGACTCCTCCCGTTGCTCAGCAACGTGCCTAGCAAAACACCAGTCCCCGCCCGCCCTCCACTCTTCCTCCCAGAAGCTTTGGCTGCCTGCCATCTCGCCCTCCTCAGCTCCCCATTTCTGATTCCAGAAATGCAACGATTTTTTTGGTTGAAAAAAATTAATTTTTAACCTCCTTCAATACATACATATATATATGTGTGTGTGTATATATATACATACATGTGTATATATATACACACATGTGTATACACATACATATATCATCTATGTCTGTATCTAAATCTATACCGCAACCGCGGGAGGGCCAAATGCAAGTTTGCACTGCTGAAATTGGTAAGGGGAAGTGGTGGTGGTGGGGTCTCGGGGCAGCAATTTTGGTCAAAGGAGCCGACACTCTCCTCCCTCTCTCTGCTCATTTCCTCTAAGTACTGTCGCTGCACCATCTTTAACTTTTGGGGGACCCACCCAGCAGCTCTGGAGCTGAAAGGCTCTAGCCAGGAGCGCCAACCCCCTTCCCATCTGTCCGGGAGGAAGAAGTCAACCCCGGCCGCGGGTCAAGGGCAGTCATCCTGCAGTGAGTCCGGCACCTGTCTTAGGCAAGGGCGGAGTCTGCGAGAGTGTCTAGGATGGGGGTGGAGGCGGGGTGGGAAGGCTGCTCGGTGTTGGCCCAGAGGCATCGTGAAGATGTGAGCTGAGGAAGGGGCTGCGGAGAAATCTAGAGGCTATCTTGCTTGGGATAAAAGCCCGTTGGGGTGTGTGTGTGTGTGTGTGTGTGTGTGAACTGGAAAGCTGGATGTGCCAATTTGCTCTCCCAGCAACTGCGCGCGCGCGCACCCTCCACACCAACCACATCATACCAACCACACGGTAGGGCAAATAAAAGTGGGGCCAGAATGCGGCTGAGCGATACCTTGCATACTTTCGATGTGACCGGATGGTTACCCAGCGCGCTCGCTTCCAAGCCAGGAAATCGATTCATACCTTTTTCCCTGGTGCTAAGCTTTTCCAAATCCACATCCCACAAGATGAAGGCGGGCGGGACCGCCTTTGAAAAGTGGCTCTTAATAAAAATAACTTCACAAACCGGTCTCTGGGCCCTCCGGGGCCTGCACACTGCCCTCGGTCCCTTTTTGCAGGCTGCAATCTGGAGAAAGTCTACCTCTTGTAAAGATGGAGGGGCTGCCGCCTGATGCAGGGAAACCTGCAGGGTTTGCGGGGATCCAGGCTGAACCCAGGCTGAAAAGCTCTCCTGCCACTTCTCAAGTGCCACCGCACTCTTTTCCTGCATCATAGTGTCTGTAGTTTGCAGTTAAGAAAACTCATGTTTGGGATGCTTGTAATGGAAGGGGATGGGGGAAGAAGGCCATTGTCCCAGTAAGAAACTACGACACAGAATAAACATTATTTTGCCAAGTCTTAACCCCTTTGGGAGAGGATCAGTAACGAGGCTGACGTCTCAGAACCCAGACTTTTTGTGTATAGTTCATGAAACTTAAAAAAAAAATTAAGATCAGGTAACTTTCCAAAAGCACACCCAGTCTAAGGGGGGGCAGAATTGTTCTCATTGAACAAGTTAGTTCTGTCAACCTTTTAAAACCTAGACTCCAGGCACTGAGAATTTGGGGGCGGGACAACCAGGGGGCGTGGCTAGTTGGAGGCGGAGGGGAGGTTCCGGGTGCTTGGCTTTTCCGTCTCCGCCCCCTTGATTTTGCATTCTGCGTTTCCAGGGCCCCTCTTGCATTTATACCACACCCACTTGTGATCTGGTTTGAGAGACTGAGCGGCGAGGAGTGGGGGCGGATTAGCACTGGCGGGGAAGCTATGATGTCTGAATTTCACATCCCTCTGGCCTCTAAACCCTATTCCTTCCTTTCCTCCTAGGTGAAATCTGAATTGGGGTAGGGGAAAAGGAATTAGATTCAGGGACGAACACCCAGCTCAGGAACGCCAAACCCTTCCTTCCGATCCCTTTCCCCCACTCCTCCCCGCCGCCGCCCAGCTTGCTGAAAGTAATCTTTCCCTCCCAGGGAGGAGAAAAGGTATTTTGAATTTTAGAGTGTTTTACAACCTACCACAATCAACCAGATCAAGTCAAGAGCAGTGGGCGTGCACGTGGGAGGGGCATCTAAGCCCCCACCCAAAAGGCATAGCTACCAAGGGTGCGTGCGTGCTTATGTGTGCATGTGAGTGCGTGTGTGTGTGGCGGGGTAGCAGAATAGAAACGTCAAGGAGGGGCTGGTAGGGGAAGTAGGGGGCTGGGAGGGACAAAGGTGGAATTAGCACAGAAGACCGGTAACGCCTCTCTCCAGGTCCCTAGTTGAAGCAATATTTTAATAAAAGAGATCTTTTTTTACAAGTTCAGAAAAAAAGAAAAGAAAAGAAAAACCCACAACAAAATAGGTGTATGGCGGGTGGTGGAGGAAGGAGTTAGTAATGTAACGTGCACACTTTCGGACTGGAGATTGACTACCTGGGATTTGGACCTAGAGACCGTACAGGCGCTCAGAGTCGGCATTCAGTCGAGGGGGGAAGGGTGGGGTGGAGGAGGTGGGGGCAGGGGCGAGGAGAAGGAGCGAAAACCCGGCTAGACAGCAGCCCCAGGTAGCAGGATCCGCCAGGGCTCCAATTCCGAGGTGCAAGGACCCTCCCCGCCGTCCTCCCGAGCTGCGCCCCGGCTCTAAGCCACTTGCTGGGCAGAGCGCGCGGGGCCAGCATGTCCCGTGTCCCCCGCCCGTGCGCCGTGGAACTGCCTAGCACACTGAGCGCGCTCACCGATCTTGGCTTGCTCGCGGTAGCTCTTTTCGTTGAGGCAGACCCCGCGGCCGTGCAGCAGGGCGTGCAGCGGCTTCTCCTCGTCCTGCCGGGGGAGGCAGCGCAGCCCCTGGGCGCAGCGTTCAGTGTAGACGCCGCACGACTGCCCCTCGGCCAGGGCGCAGGTCATGCAGCAGCCGCAGCCCGGTTCTTTGACCAGCTCGCAGCCAAGGGGGCTGGGGGGGCACATGGAGAGGGCTTTCTCGTCGCAGGGCTCGCAGTGCACGAAGGAGCCCAGGCCCTGGGCCGGTCCCGCACAGGCGGCCAGCAGCAGGAGGACCGCGGTGAGCACCATCTTCTCCGACTCTCCCCCTTTACCTGGGGCGGGGCAGGAGAGCGAGAGTGCTGGGAGAAAGGGGCCAAAAAGGCGCGCGGAGAAAAAAAAAATTCTTTTAAATTTCTGGCAGGTAGAGCAGGTGCCCTCCCCCAATTGCAAAATGTAGGGAGCGACGGATGGCTGGGGCGCCTGCAAGCAAGTCCCAACTTCAAAGATTACAGACTTGCAACAGGTAGGGGTGGGGGGGGAGGCGGAGAGCAGCGCCAGGTGCACGCAGAGGGATTGGAGGCCGGAGAAACAAACCCCCGAGCCCGACCGGGTCAGAACTGCGAGGGGGCGGGGGGAGCCAAAAATTGTTCACCCTCAAACAACCACAAGAATAATGAGTTAGGAGGCTGTGGAGGAGAGGGGGTAGGGGGAGAAAAATGGATTTGTCTTCAAAATTTTTGTTTAAAATCTCAAAGTGCACCCCACTCTTTTCTAACCCTCAGCTGCCCGCGGCGCGCGGCTGCCGCGGAAGCAGGTAAGAGGTGGAGGCTGCAGCCGCGAGGGTGGAGGAAAATGTTGAAGTCAAGAAATTAAAAAAAAGAAAAAAAAAAAACCAAACCCCTAACACCTCTTTTCTCCCACTCTGTCAGCACCTCTTCGAAATTCGCAGATTCTGCGTGAAGCCCGAAGAAGGGTGCAAACGGAGGAGGGGGTAATAAAAAGGAGGGGAAAAAAAAGGAAAAACCCACACCGCTATGCAGCTCTTTCCTAGCTCTTTTTCCCCGGCAGAAGTTTCCAAAGAGACTACGGGCTCCGGTGGAGCAGGCGCTTTTAAATAGACGGCCCCTGGCTGCCAGCCAGTTTGTAGCTGCAATTTGAGCTCCCCAACACCCAACCCAGGCAAGGATGCCAAGGAGTACAAACTCACACGGGGTGGGGGTGGGGAGAGGCCTTCTAGACACACGGGGGCTCCCCTTCGCTGCTGAACAGCGCCCTCCTCTACCCAGAATGGAAGAAAGAAGCACGGGGTCGGGGTGGGGGGTCGCACTGGGGCTGCCGAGAGGGGGGAGGAGGTGGGGGGGTCGAGTGGAAGAGAGTTCTTCGCAGCACCGTGGATACAATAAGGAGTAATTCGTCTCCCCTTCCCTCCTACCCTTTAACTAGCCAGGGTCCAGGCTGGAGGGAGTATTTTCTTATTAGCCAACTGGATACCTAGGGTAGCTCAAGAAATTCTTTCTTAGCTTTAGGAAATGGCTATCTGCTCGGTTCTGAGTGACCAAGTGAAAGATGTGTGTGTGTATGTGTGTGTTGTGTGTTCTTGCAGAAGGGGACAGTCACACCAGCAACACTGTAGGCAGCAGTTACAGAGACTGACACTTTGGAGGAAATGCAAAGACTGAAAATCTTGCCTGGCAGCCTAAAGTGTCCTGGTGTGGGGTTTTCAGGTAAAAGGAAGGCAGAGTGGAGTGACACCTTGCCCCCACCTTCTCTGAAAGGGGTATATCTGTTGGGCAAGGCCACATTCCCAGAGGAAATGGATTACAGACCAGAGGGACCCCTTGTTCTGGGGTAAATTGGTGCTAGCAGGCGCAGCCAGGGACTAAGCTGGCGGGGCCTCAGGGCTTAGCTCTGAAATGATCCGGACCTGGAACACTGTTACCCATTGGAACCCCAGGCTATCTATTTGGACACTGTGGTCCCTTCTTTCCTTAGTAAAACGAAAGAAAGCTACAGTCTTAAAAGAAGGAAGGTGGGAATTTTAGTTTTTTCCTGAACTTAGCAGGGGTGTGTTATAGACATCAGAGCCAGATCAGAGAGAGATGAGCCCCTGTGGCTGCCCCATCTGGGGGAACTTGGGGCAGGACTGTCACCCTTTTACATTGCTCTTCGTCCCTCTGGCAGGGCTCTAATGTCTCTTTGGAGAAGGGGCTGCATTTCATGAAGTTTGCCACTAGACTGCACCCTCATCTATGACAATAATTCCTTCTGTAGGGCTGCTTTTAAAAAAATATTTCTCTTGTTGGTTTGGTTCAGAAGCATCTCCCTCCGGGCTGTTAACATCCCCAGATCCTGATCTCTCTTCCCACTTATCTATTTGCCGAAAGGCTCTTTTAAAAATCAAGACAGAAATTTAAAGTTGTTCTTTTGTTCGTATTGCCAGAGAGGCTTCAAGTGTTGGCTGGGAGAGGGAGGAGGAGCTGTGTGTAAAGATTTAAGAAAAAATAAAAAGAAGAAGAAAAAAAGGGACGCTCATTAGCATTGCTTCTCCCCTGTGTCTCTGTAAGGTAGGGGGAAATTAATATTCAAAACTTTGGTTGGAATATTTGAGGAGTGAGGGAGATCACGTATTATTTTCCCCTTTGTGTCAAGTTTGGGCAGAAGAGTGGCTGAACAGTGTGCGATGTGTGTTCCGGCCCCTGCTCCTATTTCTGCACCAGCTCCGCAGCAAAGCCGGCTCTGGGCACACTGGTAGCATTTAAGATGAATGGGGAAATTGTGGTGCTCCTTCCAGAGAAACATGAGTTGCCTAGTTTCAGCCACCCTCTATTCTGAGAGAGACGGCCTCAGTGACACGTCTTTTTGTCTAGCCGACTTCCAGTGGCTGGAAAATAAAATGTGTGAGGACAGGTAAAAGGGAGAGGGGGATGATTCATAGAGAAGACGAAAAGGGTAGAGAGAAAGGAAGCAGGAACCCGTTCGTGGGATAGGGCGGCGATGGGGGCGGGGTGCAGGGAGACTCTGCAGGTCTGTAATGTGGAGAAGTGACCACCCTACTCTCCACTTAGAAACGGGCTTCTGTCATGAGGGCCTGAGAGTTGGCTGATGGGACGGAAGCTGCTGTCCAGGGGACCCTCAGGTAGGCTCGCTGGGAGGGCATTAGAGGAAAAGGACGCTCAGTTGCCTGTGATTGTAGTAATTTGGTCCAAAGATGGGCTCCTGGCTGGATGCGTTTACCTTTAAAATCCCACAATTAACATCCAACAGCCAGTGAAGAGGGAAGGTCTGTTTTAGGATATTGGACTATGGGGGATGCCGAGGACCCTTTCTTGAATCCATCCTTCCCCCGCCTCCGTCTGGAAGCCCTAGACCTGTTCACAATCATCTTTAGAAGATTACTTCTGGGGAAAAAAGTTTGCATCAGTGAATTTTGTTGGGGTTGGGAGAATGGGATGGCTCATTTAATGCCTGCCAGATTCAAACATCAGAGGTGGGGATCACTTCCCTTCTTCACTGCCACAAGCTTCCCAACTCTGCTTCCCAACTCTGGTATATTACAACTTTGATGTCTTTCAACCACATCTTTCTTGGAGAAGTAAGAAGTTAAGTATCATCCACATGTGTCCTGTTCCCCAGAGATCACCCTTGTCCATTCCTTTAAAAGATTAACTGCACATCAAGACCAAATTTCAAGGAAATGCAACCCAGTCAGATTTGTGCTTTTCTCTGGACAACTTTTCCAGGGTACACAGTATTTGTGTTTTGTAAAGCTTGAGTCCTTTCCTCTGGTCATTTTCTGTGAGTTTCTAAGTGATTTTCTAGGCAAGAGTGATGCCTGATAATTTGGGAAAGCTAGGTTTTTCATGGGACATAAAATATCATGGATTCCTCCAGTTGGAAAGGAAAATGTAGCTAAGGATCTCATCGTCATTCAGTCCTGTGCATTGCTCTCACCACTCTCTTAGCTTTGCCTAAACTTTTCCCCACGGTGAGTAGTCATTCTGTTTTAAAGACATTATGAGATTGACCAGTCCCCTTTCCCAGAGGCCAGCCCACATCAGGCATTCTAATGCTGTCACCTCATCCTGGTTCAAATCTAAGGTACAGTGACCCTTAAGAAATAAAGTACCCAGTCGCCCAGGTCCTCCCCAAGATTAGGGAAATTCAACAAGATGAGGTTGGTGCAGAAGAGGGCAGGTTTGTTGTAGTGATGTGGCTGAAGGCTAGGTGGCAGAATAGATACATCATTTCAAACACGCCTCCTTTAGAGATGGAAAAAGAAGCAGGCACTGGTGGGAAGTCTCTGACAATGGGGATGGGGGGGAGGGGGGAGCAAAAGCATGGATGGACATCCATCAATGCTTCGTGGGTGCACTGTGCACTGCCCCAGTCTTGGCACTGCCCTTTTGCCTTGACAGCACCAATCCAGCTGGAGGTGGGAGTTTCTCCAAGTCCCCCCAGCCGTTATATTCATGAGCACTTTCCCTCGGAGCTGGGGGATGGCCAGGTCAGAACTTGATTACTTTGGGTTCATCAAAGGATGCCCTAAAGCTTCTCTGATGAATAATTAGAATAAGGTCTTCAGCCAAAGTGCAGAAAAGAAGTCTTTTTTTTTTTTTACATTTTAAGTTGTTAATTATGGTATATTTCAAACATTCAAAGAGCAGAAGATAATATAACAGATATCCTCCCCTCACCACACACATTACAATTTCGCCATGTTGTTTGAGATTTTGTTTTAAAAGGAAATGCGTTACAGAGAACAGCCCACCTCCTGCTGCAGCCCATGCCTGCCTTCCCGCTGCAGAGGCAGCCATCCTCCTGCTGTAGCTTTGTATCCTTTCTGCACAAGATTTGTTCTAGGTTTTATATGAGGTTTCTTATAGAGGAGAGTTAGAAGGATTTTGAGGGTGAGCGCATGTGCTCCTGTAGAGTTCGTTTTGTAGCAGGACTTGCTATGCTGGCCACTTAACTATGAGTCTTAATGGACCCCAGGCTGACTTTGGAAGGAGCTGGCTCCAACTATGACTCAGGATGATTTATCTTTCTATGTGAGCAGTATAAAAGTTAATAGTTTTAAGAATTCGTGTTTAGGAGACTTCTGGAGCTGTTCCAGAGAGAGATCGCAGAACAGGGAGGGTAACACAATTTCTGGTTGGAAGCCTCCTGTCTTCTTGGGTCATGGGACCTGGTGTACTCCCACAACGGGCAGCCCCGGAGCTGTGTTTGAGTTTTGGAAAAATGGGATTAAATAGGAAAAGTGATCTGCTGTGTATTAGAAGATAGTGTGGCTAGATCCAGATGTAGGAGGGATAGGAATGGACTAGGTAGGGAAGATGGGATCACATGGGGTAGGAGGAAAGAGAAAGTTAAAAAAAATTTAATTGATTTATTATTGTATTACTTACTTATTTTTTTATTTTGGCAGGGCAGTAGTGGGGAGGGGAATTAGATTTATTTATTTTTAGAGGAGGTACTAAGGATTGAACCTAGGACCTCCTGCATGCTAAGCATGTGCTCTATCCTTCACCCTAGAAAATGTTAACTGCTCGAAGCAGGTTGGGTATAATGCATTTGAGTTGTGAAAAAGCCAAATAAAATCACAGTGTGTGGTTGGAATAGGTTTCATCACAGTGCAAGGGGGAGAAGCAGTAAGAGCTAGCTTACCACCACTAGCGTATGAATTAGGAAAAGATGAACTTCCTCAAGACACTTTACTTCTGTTTGTCAGAAAATTGCTATAAAATACAGATTTTTTTTAGAAAAGGACACTTTACTATACCTTCCAGGAAACTGTAATGAATGTATACATCTGTGATGTCTGCAGTGTGATCCATGCTTAGCTGGGGCTCTTATTGTGCAGTGCACGACCTGCACAGCTGCACGTGGGGACCCTGTTTGGAAGAGTTGAGCCTGGTTTCCAAACGGTCAGGAAACACTGATTTTCTACTAGTGTGGAAAGGATCTGTCCAGTGACATGGTTTGCTCCATTACGAGGGTTTGAGGGATGGGCTTGAACCCCCTCAAGGCAGTGGACTTTGACCGTGTTCTCGGCAGGGCTAATCTACACCTTCGTGCCATTCCTTAGAGA